TCTAACGTATCAACTTGGGAACAGAAGCTAGTCACAGATAAAAAAATATGTTTTTCTTTTTTTTTCTTTTAATAGCTTATACAACACCTAAATATTGTCAAATTTACCTTGAAACCTTCACGAGTAAGTCACTCTCACCCTTGACTCTTTTTATGCCTACATAAGTAATATATTATAATGACCTCGGTTTATATTTATGTTACCGTCGAATCATCATTAGACTGCACTAGGTTTTGTTTTTTTTTTTACACTGAAAGCGTAATTATGACTGTAATGTATTATTACACGTATTATGTTAAAAAGATTGTCTAAAATAGATATTAATGATTATTTTCAAGAAAATGAATATATTTATTACTTAATTACCTTTGTAAAAATATAAGATCCTTTTCAAATCTGACCTCGGGTTTTATCAATTGAATTGTGTACATATTCACAACTAGCATTCAAATCGGTTTAACCGTTTCTGAGGTTAGTGTACACAAACCTACAGACAAACAGATAAAAATTCAAAAAATCATTGTTTTAGTTTCTATTGCCTTTATAAAGTCCCCCTATAATAGTTTTTCTTATATATCTTCCATGAACGGACAGCGAGCAGTTACGATTTTATTATATATATTGATTGATTATTATTCTTAAGTAATAAATGTGAAAATAAATTTGTTTGTTTGTAACTTTAATTACTCGACTAATTGTCATAACATTTTGCATATATTTTGTGCTGGATATAAAGCGGACTGCTTTTTTACCCAATTAAAAATATCCTAGTTTCGCGAGCAAAGTCGCGGTTAAACATGAATATCATTATCATAGGCATTAACTGTCTTCGGCTGTACATAGACCTCTTCTATACACTGCCATAAGGAACGGTCACAAGCCATCCGCATAATATATTAAAAATAATCAATTTACCTTAAACTCATGTTATTTACACGTCATAAAAATAGAAAGATCGGTTACAAAATGTGTCTGTTAGTTTATTCAGGTTAATCTACGAAACCGCGATTATCAACAATTTTGCAAAGAACGATTTTTGTCTCGGAAGTGTTTAGAATTCGCGTGAGCTCGCTATTAGGTTAATATGAACGTTACTATATGATTTGTTAAACTTAGTAAAATCAGGTAATTGTCTCAACACAACGAGATAGCTTATTCTTTAAATAATTATTTTTAATTTTATTTATTATGTATGTTAATTTGTAATATGAGTTCAGATGTGTAGATTTTTTTTTTTGTTGGGTGAAAATGGTATGGTAACCTCGCCTGCGCTAACGGGATACGCTGGCGGAGCACCAGTGAAGGGTGATAGATGAGAATGAAAACAGGCCAGTTAGCCCATCATGATGAATTCGTCAGGAATTAACCATGATAGTTTCCAAGGGGAACCGCGAGGAGGTCGACCTGGTTGGGTATATTGCTAGCAATGGGATTCTGAGTCTCCATTACTAACAATCCCTTCCCCCCCCCCCCCAGATGTGTAGATTAAGTTCTCATAAGGATCTATGAAATGATGGTATAAGGCAGGGGGAAGCACAAAAGATCCGTACGGGTCGACGTGCATCGGCTTAGCTGACCCCATATGCGAAAAATAAGATTAGATGTTCTTATATGAATCTCAGCTCTTATCTCCATTGGTATCAGCTGATAATCTGAGATGATAATGACGTTGAAGTCTTCAAAAAAAATGTTTTAATTTTATCTAAAATTGGAATAAATTTGATAATATTATTGTCAAAAATTATCACTTCATAATGTGATAAATGCCTAATTCACATCTTCTGAGTAGTACATACGTGACTAGACCAACGATATTCACTTTTAGACTTTCGCGCTGCATGTTTTGTGTTTTATAAGAGACGCGATCATTTAGATAAACTTCTGGAAGCGAAGTATTTTCTTCTACCCACTGCCTCACTTCAAACACCTCTGCTTCGGAAGATATGATATGATCGGAGATATCATAGCGCTACATTAGTTTACTCGTAATCACGATCGGTGTAATCTGGTCGAAATGTCAAGATAATTTAGGTAAATTATTAAAGTTTACCTAAATGATAGCGTTAAATCCCTCTTATCTCTTATAAAACATAAATCTAGAGATTATCATATCAGTCGTTAACTGTCCACTGCTTAACATAGGACTCACGCATAGAGGGAGGGTTTGTCAATAATTGCCACGCTTGGCAGGCGTATTGGCAACCGCAGTTAAACATTTGATGACGTTTAAAGAGGGACGTTACTGCCTATCCCTCGACTATTAAGTTACAACACTCACGTGAAATGAAAAAATTGTCCATTCTGTGCCGGGACCCCACGGCAATATCTAGTGATGTAAGCATCAAATGCCCATAGTAACAGTTTAACATAGGGTGAGTCGTACACCACAGTCGAATCTAAAATAAGAACGTACAAACACATAAGAATAATTAATGCGCAATAAAAATAAATGACACATAACATTGTCTAGATACGAGAATCTCACAGACTACTGACCGAAATAATATATCATTGTCATAAATTAACTGCGGTATAACTCACATATTAACCTAATGTATTAACCATTATGTTCCGACTCATATTTGGTACGCCCATTACACAATAGAGCCTCATTCTGTTCATCATTAATCGTCATTATTTACATAAGCCATCTCGAACAATGGGTTCATGGGAATCTTGTGATATCAACGAAAAACAACACTTGCAGCGTATTTAATTGGTTGCGCGCGAAATGCGATTGGATTTTGTTGTAATGTCACCTTCTTAAGGCGAGCTCGTGGAATTTCCGGATTGTTATGTGAATGTTGTATCCGATTATGAATTAACAAGATTAAATTGGTGATTTCATGAGAGCCACTAATGGTTTACATGACGATCTAAAATTTTCTTCCGTGTCACACCAATATATATAAAATGTATAATAAAGCAGTAAGAATATGTCGAGTCATATATATGTCTTCTCTTTAGGATTTTTATATCACTTTTTTTTTAATCATTGAGGTGGCAAACAAGAGTACGGACCACCTAATGGTGAGCATTACCGTAATCTACCTATACCGTATCCAGGGGCATTTCGCGCGCGTTGTCGATACTGAAGAAACCTATTTACTCCTTTTTTGAAGAACCTTATGCTGATGCTTATGCTTCTTGGAAAACTCTCGAAAAGAGCTCAAATTTTAGAGATGATAAAAAAAAAATAAAGCAGAATACGATAGTACAAAAGAAGAACTATATATATATATATATATATATATATATATATATATATATATATATATATCAACTAAGTGGTCTAACCAAAGTGATAATGTGAGTAGTTGGTTATATGCCACAACTACGGCAACGCTAATGGCTTGTTATAGTTATGGCATGGTGGAGATTATAATGGTAAGTTTTATGTAACTCGCCTGTGATGGTATGTATTTACATACATACATAAAGATGATAATTTACAATTAATGTAATTATTGCATGTATACAGATAAGCAGGCCAGCGACATCGTTTCAGTGATTTATTGTCCACTTCTAAACATAGGCCTTTACCAAATACAGCCATAAAAAGGTACTCGCCTGGTAACACCTAGTGCGGGGGTTGCCCTATTTTGTTTAATGTAAAATAGCAAAATATTTATGTATAAACTTAAGTTTGTCTAGTTTTTTTTGTTGTTTGTAAATTATCACTATATTGTACACTATCCGTTGACACTGATGCTCCTTTCCACTTTAGGTTTACTGAAAGGAAATTGTTTTAGATTTAAACTCGCCTTTGTACATTTCATACCTCTGTCATTCATAATCAAACTATAAAAATAATAAAGTCTTTAATTTTCCAAATAAAATACGTAGGCTGTACACATTTACACTATATCTGAGTAAATCACTACATTTATTTTTATAAGATAGATAAATATATATTTATAGTACCGTCAACTTGCCTGCCATGTGTGGCAACTACTGTCAATACCCTCCTCATGGGAGAGGCAGTGGACAGTTGATGATTAATAAGATGACGATGATGAAATAAATATATTTCCTAACCTATGTCCAGCTAAGTTTTACAATAACAAAATAATAAATATAATAATAAATATTGAATTAACAAAAAAAAAAAATAACCATACAAATAATATATTGCGAAAGCGCGCTGTTAACATGAACACTGTGAATTTATTACGAATGAAAGCTTATAAATATTTGTCAACGTCCTTTGTCGTGTTTAAATGACAAAGGCGTAAAATACAGACAAAAAAGGTCGTAGGTAAGTCATTATGTCATTTTATGTCTGGCAATTTGTTTTGCATATACTTTATCATAATAATATTATATTAGTCATTTGATTTTATATATTATATTAGAGATATATTAGATAGAATTATATAATTATGAGAAGATTTTATTCTACAAAAAAACATCAACTTCAATAGGAGAAAAATCTGTTGTTTTAGTTTTAAAACTAAACTTATGAACCGATTTTGAATTATATTTATACGAGAAAGTATGTACTTTCAGAAAAAAGAACCAATTCTGTTTATAAATGACAGATTTATGTCTGTTAGCATAAAAAATACAATCAAACTGAAACCTCCCTTCTATTTTAAATCGGTTTAAAATATATATTGCAAATAAACACTGATTAAAAAAAATACAAAAAAAAATTAATAAATAAATTACAAGTTACTATATCATAATTTAGTTTATCTCTAAATAATCAAATTATTTAGAGATAAACTAAATATTTCTAGACAGATAAACTAGATGGCGACATGATCTACAATAAGTCAAGTAGGATAAAACTTAGGCTTTTCCCATAGACTTTCAAAAAAGGACCGTTCCTTTTGACAGTCTATGGGGAAAGTCTAGAGCAATTCAGTAGTAAGCTATTAGTAGTTGAAATGTTAATGATGATGAATTCAGATATAGTGATTAATTTTTGTTTAAATCATTTAATGTTTAATTATGACAAATACTTAGTAGTTAATATAATGAAATTAATGAATTACCTTTATGTCCTAGATAGTCTTCAGTTACGGAATTTTCACCTGAAAATAAATAAAATATTTTTTTATATAAATTATGAACATCTTATTAATAAAATGAAATGGTAAGTGGACTATGTTTGTATGTATATGGGAGATATTAAACATAAATTGGTATTTTTTTTTGATGGGTGAAAATAGTATGGTAAGCCCGCCTGCGCTAACGGGATACACTGGCGGAGCACCAGTGAAGGGTGATCGATGAGAATGAAAACAGGCCTGTTAGCCCATCATGATGAATTCATTAGGAATTAATCATAATGGTTTCCAGGGGGAACCATGAGGAGATCGACCTGGTTGGGTATATTGCTAGCAATGGGATTTTTAGTCTCCATTACTAACAATCCCTTTCCCCTCCAAAATACATAAATTGGTATTAGGTGTTTTAAAAAAGGTCAAGACAAGCCTAAACGTCGTAAAAGGTGACTAAGAGAACTTAATAGTCGAAGGATGCAAGGAATGATGGAATAGCAGCAGCGTCCCTCTTAAAACATCTCTAAAGTTGCTAACCCGCTTGCCAAGCGTGGCAACTACTGGTAAAACCTCCCAAGGTGAAGGCCTGTATTCTCTAGTGGACAGTTAACGACTGATATGATGAAGAACATATTTTGAAAAATCATACAAGTTATACACATATAAACATACAAACATTACAATACAATACAATATAAGTTCTACTCAATTTGGATGGCAGTATAGATATTTATTTATTTATTCTTCACTGTACCACCCTTCACCAGAGGGAGACTTTGTACAAAAGTCGATTGCTTGGGTGCCTCTGTCCCATTCGTGTTTCAACCGTGGAGCAGTTGTGTTTGCATGGCTGTGTTTCGATTCGAAAGGTGGGATATGGCGTGAATTTACTGGGTACTGAGCAATAACACCTGAGTCCTCAGGAATGGCAACGTATGGGGGGTATCATGAGCAAAACAGTATACTCTGTTATGTCCATAATACTGCTCATGTCTATAGGCGACGGTTACCACTTTCCATCAGGTGGGCCGTTGCGATTCTCTCTTGTTTGCCATTCTAAGATGTATAAAAAAAAAGTACCAGTTAAAAAATAATATATTCGGGGATTGTTCATTTTTTTTTAATTTATTAACCTAAAATAATATCTCTATCAATATAACAGAATACACTACGAAACAATAGAATTATAAAACAACAAAACTGCTAAAAGGAGTGGAACAAAAATAAACTAACAATGGGTAGGCACTTGTAGGTGCAAACGTGACAGTTACACCCCTACACGAAAGTTTCCACATCGGATCTTCCCAATATTGTTGCATAAACGTACGGAACCTTTGCGGCGACCTTTCGCTGATCTCCGATAAGTGAGAGATGACAAGGAACGTCTGGTTGCAGGAGAAATTTCGTGTAGTCTAGATTTATTGAGGTTTCATAACGTCTCTCACTAGGTGTAATATACACCTACTAGTTTATACCCGCGGTTTCGTCCACGTGACCTGTACATATTGATTGGCATATCTAAAATATTTTTTTTATATTTTTCACGTGTAAACAGATTTGAAAAACTTGTTTTTTTTTTTGTTTTCTGAAATATACTCTATACTTACATATTGGTCTCTTTGTATAATAAGGTCCCGGATTCGAAGATCGGTTGGGCCAGTTTAGGAATATAGGTTATGCCGACAGATATACGTTGACTGGTTTTTCTTAATACAGAGTATCTTGACTGAACAGTATGACAGTAAGGTATATAAAAATTTTGTAAGTTTGTGCTTTATGTATACATGTGAGCAGTATTTATATATATTAATGTATTTGTGTAAGTGTTTGTATGCATATGTGTCTGTATGTATATTTGTATGTATATGTGTATATATTTAAGTATATATAATAAGTAGGGATATATATTTACATTATTGCATGTATCACATCTCTATATTTTAGAAATAATAGAATTTCACCGGGCCTCCGATCAAACTGTTTATAATTACTCCTCTTCATCCAAAGGTTGCCTGGAAGAGATCGCTTTTAGCGATCAGGTCGCCCATTGTTTTCTCATTGTGTGATTATTTGTTGTAATTGTTTATATTTATAATAAGTTTACTATTGTAATATTTTGGAGGAAACAATAAAGAGTATGTATCTATCTATAAGGTATATATTATACAAGATGGGTCTATCCTCGGATACACCACACACGTACACACAGCAGTTTTTTTTTAATGGATGATAATGGAATGGCTTTCTCGCCTGAAATACGCTGGCGGAGCACCAATAAGGGATGACAGGTGAGAATGAAAAGGCAGGTCAGGTAGCCCATCGTGATGAATACACCTGCGATTCAGCACGATGGTTTCCGGGGAGGACCACGTGGAGGTTGACCTGGCAGGATATATTGCTGGTATATGGTTGACTGGTAGAGTACCCCGTCTGGTGTTAAGTCCGCCAAATGTATATAGAATTTTACTGTGTATTAAACTTTAAATAAATAAATATATTGCTATCAATGGGACTGATATTTCGTATTACAAACAATCCCTCCCCTACACAGGTTTTAAGTGATGTTTTATTAGAAACGATGCTGTCCATCCCTCTAATATTAAATTCCCTTAGTCGCCTTTTACGACACCCACGGGAAAGAAAGCGCCCATTCTATGCCGAAATTTACACGGCGTGACATTTATTGTATAGCAAAAAAAAAATATAAATATCATTAAATAATAATAATAAAAGGTAAAAATAACAATAATAATCACAATAATAACAAGACCTTTAATAAAGTCATAAACAATAACAATTATTCGAGCCGTAACTTTTTAAACATTACTATTAAACAGTTTTGAAGAATTATTATTGTCAATAGTAAAAAAACACACACATTCGTAAATACTCTTCTTCCATTTGAAATTGTCGGTTTTTACATATAATATATCGTATAGTTTACTGTAAAAAATATAATCTATTCATTATATATACACTTACATCTACGTGCCAAATAATAATAGATAACGTGACCCTATACCAAAATTAGTTCCAATCCGTTCAGTGAGGGATGATAGGTCTTTTTAATTGGCACATTAACCCGATAATTATCGGACAACTGCGTGGAAGTTAACCTGACTTCGACCATTTTTTTTATGCAACTTAGAATACCAAATAAGCTGACGGTCCACCTGATGGAAAGTGGTAACCGCCACCTATAGATATGAGCAGTACTATTGACATAAAAGAGTTTACTGTTTCGACCATGATACCCCCCATGCGTTGCCATTTCACCAAGGACTAAGGTGTTATTCTTCTGTACCCTGTAAATTCACACCATATTCCACCATTCAAATCGAAACACAGCCATGCAAACACAACTGCTTCACGGAGAAACACGAATGGGACAGGGGTACCCAAGTAAACGTCTTTTGTACAAAATCTACCAAAATTCTCCTAAAATTCATTTCTAGCAATACACTGATATTGCTGATAATGGAGTTGTTAATTTCCATTTTCTCTTGTCTATTATTCGCATCTCTTCTCTCCATCCTTTTTAGTATAATACATTTCGCTGAAAAATCCGAACATACATACATATGTATGTATTCACAACGAAAAGACATTACCCTCCTTTCATGGTCAGTCGGTTAAAACTCTGGCCCTTCTAACATTTCCATGTCATCACATCGTATGCTAGTATTAGCGAATGACACAATATCTTATGTATTCAAAGTGAATGCTAACCATCTGATACATTACCTTCACAAATATTCTTTACTTTTTTTTTATTTTTATTTTACTCACGTGTACTTACGTAAGAAATTTTCGTGTATGAATAATCTTATAGCTCAATCGTATCAGAATTTCCGATGTACGCATTACGGAAGATGTAATAAATATTTGTAATAAAATCTATAAAGAAAATAATAAATTATATTTGTACTTCATATTACGTATGGTGGGCAACATCTCTGAGTAGACATCATACTAACATCATTCCATATCAACGTGATGTCATCATCAACATATACGAGTATGGATATATGTATTTTTTATATTTAATATTGTGTAAATGTATAAATCATTAGCTGTTATTTTCTCTACCTACCCTAATAATGACGCATGTTTTTCATTTGCTGTTCATTCCAAAGGTAGACTAGTAGAGAATGCTACTAACTTGAAGTCCGTCTTTTGCACCATATTTTCTTTCGGTTAATAATGTTATTTAAATAAATAAATAAATAAATGAGTACACTTTATTTGCATTATACAATATAGGAAATAAGCAGGACAATTACAAATATAACGATACAATTGTTGTACATAAATATTATTATTTGATGTATAAACAATAAAAGAATTTCAATTTTGGCTATATATATATATATATATATATATATATATATATATATATATATATATATATATATATATATATATATATATATATGTCTTATATAAAAAAAAGAATTTTCCGGAATAAAATATGACGGAGTTAAAACATACTAATGAACTCCTTCCCCCCAGGCCGAGCTTCTGTGTCTATGCTAGAAAAACACAAATATTTAACAAATGATATCTTTAATAATCCATTGTAATAAATACAGCTGTACTTGTGTTATTTTATAAAACCACAAAATATTGTTTCTTTATTCAATTCTCAGAAATGACTCGTAAAAGTTCCTTATGCGACGCATAAATCTTAACGACTTATAATTAGCTACACATAATTACAAAGTATGTACCCATAATTGCGTATATTATAAATGATGGAGCATAATTCACGCATACGCACTTAACGTGCTTAGGTGTTCCTACTTATTTTAACTATGAGTATTTTGGTTTTAATGACAGATGGGTAACTGCGTCGTGGTCCTGTAGGTAATAGACATAGTCAGAAGTATAAGCAAGTTGAAGTGACAATCGGCTGGTCACATAGCTCGAAGCACCGACAACCGATGGGGAAGAAAAGTTTTCAGGTAGCGAGCCTGTACAGGCAAATGCAGTGTAGGACGACGTTCCACTAGTTGGAGTGACGATCTCAA